ATGTAAACCATGCGTAGCAGATCACTATAAAGGACACGTGCAACCGCACATGGGGGGACCAATCTCCGAAGGCGCTCAAGTTGATCCTCTTGGTGGGCGTCTTTTCTGGATGAACATGGTGATCGCGACTCGCAAGAGCACCCCATGCATCATGAGTACATTTACGGCGCAGCAAGAGCTCCACTCTCCCTTGGAGCCTGCTCGCACCGAACTCAGGAACTTCAGGGGGGCCTGCAGCAGTCCCTAAAATTCGCGCAAGTGGACATATATCGTATGCATAAGCCACGGGCTACTCCTCCATGCGATTCCACACTCGGCTGTGCCATCAACTTCGTCGGTCAACTTGCATGTCTCTTCGGAGGACTGCGATCGGAGGGCGGTTCGATACACTGCCGGCTCCCGCCGTGCAGAACGGGTGACGGGCACGAACATCCATACCAGCATTTCCAAGAAGCTCGCAAGACACGGCGTTCCTCGGGGCGTGTGTGATTAACTGCCACGCGCGGTGCTCCTGTTTCAGAACGCAAAAGAACTGGGCAACATAGCTCAGGCATGCTAGCGCATATGCATTGTCTCTCCGTGCAATTTTGAACAAACCAAGCTCTAGAGCCTTGCACTGTCGAGCGCGACGGCATGCGTTGTTCGCAAGACCTTCCGAACTCTTGATGTCCGGCTGTTTCCCCGCCCAACTGCCCAAGTACTTCCTACTCTCTCCAAGTATGACGCCTGGAAGCACGATGCCGCGCTGGGGCAGCCTGGCACCAAACCCCTGACGGAGGAGGCCCTTGACGGAACCGACCGCGCATTTCAGCAAGCTCAAGCTGCGACCCGCGACTCGCTCGGCAATCTGGAGCGCAGGGGAGGAGAACGACGAGGAAGGGGAGAACGAGGATACTCAGATCATATCGGCTCAGGGGGGCCGAATCCCTCGTCAAGAGAGCAGCGACAAACCGCTGGCCCCTGAGTGGCCTTCGAGGGCAGCCTCGGTCGGTCACCAGCCCCAGCGGGCGCGACCAAGCGCCATGGCCTCCCGCCCGCCCTGCGGCGCGGGCACGCGCGTTCAGGGGGGGCGGTGGCGCGAATCAGAACTTGCAATCGGACGGCCGACGAGGCTCTGCAACGATAAAAAAAAAACACACACACACACACGAGACTTCGCCCGCGGTTTAGGTTTTGAAGCTCCCCGAACCTGGGCCGTGAACCAACGCGAGTCCCCCTCTACTCCTTCCAGTTATATATATATATATATAATATATATATATATATTATATATCAATATATATATATATATATATATATATATATATATATATAACAAACAACAGGCGGAACGGCCGAGGGGCCCTGGAGGTCAAGGTAGCGGAAGCGGCGGCAGCGCCAGCAGAGCTCAAGAGAAAAAGAAATGGGGGGATGAGGGCCCCTCGGGCCGCCAGCTCGCGGAGGCCGCCAGCGTCGGTCCCCAGGCTACCTCTCGGGCGACTGCGGCCGCGACGCGAGCGCTCGCAGCAGCGAGCGCTCGCCTCTCGGCTGCGCCCCCCCCCCCCCCCCCCCCCCCCCCCCGCCCCTTCCCCCCCCAAAGTCCCATCTCCACCCCCCTCCCCCGTCGCGCGCTGCTGCGCGTGCGCGGCTCGTTGCGCCCCTCCCTCGCTCAACGTGCGATGCGATCCAGTGGCTTCGCCGCGTCTCTCTCGAGCGCCCCCCCGGGCCGCGCCTGCCTTCCGCCCGCCGCCCGCCGCCTTCAGGCGCTGCGCAAGGTGACGCTCGAGCTCTGGCACCTTCGAACCGATGGCGGAGGTGGGCCGATGCTACTCCGCCTACTTCCCCCGCGCTCGCGCCGCTGCGCCCCTGCGCGCGCGAACTTCTTCCGCGGGCTCGAGCAGCAGCCGCGCCGTCGCCGCGTCGCGCCGGTGACCCTCGAAGCGCCCTCTGCAGCCCTCCGGGGACTTGGAGTCTGGAGCAGCCCCTTGCACCGGCGCCGCCCGCGCTTGCAAGGGCGGAGGCCCCAGGGGGGCGCGTCGCCGTCGGACTCCATCGGCGCCTGCGCAGCGCCGCGGCACTGCGCGCCCGCTGCTTTGGCGGCCGCGACCGCCGCCGCCTCGACCGGCGTGAGGAACGCGAAGAGGGCGACGCCGCAGACGCCCCCGAGCTCCGCCGCGCTCGCGAGCGAAAGCTTCGCGGGGGCGACCGCGAGCCGCGCGGGAGTGCCCCCGCCGCCGCCCTTCTCTTGCCCCCTCGCGGTTGGATATACTCACAATGCCGGATACTCACGTCGCGCAACAATTTGTTCGCACGGCGCGTCAGCCAGGCAAGATGGCGCCACGGACGGCGCTGCCACTGTCGCACAGCATGCAGCGATACTGCTTCTCGATCTCGATAACGCTAAATCCTAGCTCTGCTTCGACATCGAGTCTAAGAACGCTTTGACCGGGGTGGGCGCGTTGCGACAGTCAGCGACCGACTCCGAAGCTCGCGAACATCTATGCGCAAGAACATCCCCCCCCCCTCTCCTCAGAGCGGAACAGCTCCAGGAACTTACCATTTAGACGAGCTCCTGAGTCAGGCCCCTCTCCGAGCACCCCCCAGGGGCTCCGCGCCCACCCAGTGCGCGCGGACCCAGGGGCGAACATCGCCAGCTAGACGACCACTAGAAAGGGATCGAGGAACGATTTCCAACCGTCGCAAGTAGCGCGGCGATAACATGTCTGCAAAACTGCGGCCGAAGCACCAGCACCTTTATAAGATCCGAAGCTGTCGGATCCGATCTTCCAGCTCGAGAGACACCGGCCTCCGGTAGGCCGGCGCATTTTTGCCCGGGGGAGAACGAGGATGGCGCTCAGCGCACGGATCAGACGCGCCTCCACGCATTGCACGCCGAGCAAGATGCAATCTGATTCGTCGACCGTCGATGCCCCGCGCTCGCTGGAACATGCGCGTCAATGCCAGAAAGCCCTGCGTTGTCAACCTTGCTCATGAACAAACGGCGTCGTAATCGGTGCGGAATGTCCGCAAGGTGTCAAAAACGCCACATGGAGTGCAATCCCAACCGCGTTGCCCCACGCCCAGCCTTCATTTCGAAATCGCAACAGGGCAGAGCACTAGCACGAAAGCGCAGGGATTCTATTACCTGCGCCGCGCGACCGAGAAAATACACGGCACCCTCGCGCAATCGCTGGGGCGCCTCCGACGACCCCCCCCCGCGAAGCATGCGAAAGCTTTCTGCTTGCGTAGGCTGTGCTTGCACCCGTCTTGCCGAAGGGGTCGATCGAGATCGCCGTTGCCGCGGCGACTGATGGCGATGAGCTCGCGAAGCGAAGTGCAATTCCCACCGCCAGCTTTCTCAAGCTGTTTTCGTCGCATTTAATAAGAGACAGGTCCTGGCGCGCGGCGGACACTTGACAGAGCGGCGGAGAGAAACTGCGACTTCCGATCCCAGCTGCGCCGGGCCCCCCGCCAGGCGTTCTACAGCAGGGGCAGCGGCGCGCGAGCGAGCGAGCGCGCGGCGCGCCCATCTCCCGCGAGGCCGCCGCTGCTTGGACGAAGCGTGACAGATTCATCAGATCCCCGAAGGTGCACCGCGGCCCTCGGCGCCTCTGGCCCCCGTGTCCCAAGGGCCCAGGCCAGCGCGAGCATGGGCCGCCGCGCGCGTGGAGTGCCGCGAGCTATGACAGAACGCGTTTGGAAGGTCACGCGCGCTCGCCATGCGCGACAGGCCTGCGCGCCACAAGTGGTGTCCACTAGTGGTCCGAACAAGATGAGCCTCTTCTCTGCGATGGCGCGGAACAAAACCATGATCACAGTCTCCAGAAGAACCTGGCCCCCTTTGGTGCATGAGGTCGGTCATGAACGGGTTCCCCATCGGGGTCGGCAAGTGAACCCGCCGCGTGCGTCCGTCAGGGCGCGGTGGCGGGGCCCCTCCACTACAGTGCCACCGTAGAGGGGGCCCGTCCAGACCCCCCGATCATTGCCAGACACCCAAACAGGAACTTCCGGACATCGGGGAGACGAACGCTCTCAGCAGGAGCACCCACGCCTGCAGAATTAGTCTTACAGCGCATGAAAGGACGGAAGACCAGCCGCCATCACTCGAGAGGCGGGGCCCAGCACGGCCCAGTCCGACGTTTGCCAGCAGCCAAACTGGCGCGGCGGAGACCCTGGAAACCATGTGCAGCAGCCTTGCGCTCAACATCATATGTCGGCGCCGAATATGGCAATGGACGAGGCAATCTAGAATCCCGCCAGCCTCCATTCCCCCAACAGCATCTGCGCGCGAAAATTCGACAGGGAGCTCAGCCGCACTGGCCGCACCGCCTCGGGCAGCATGATAATCGCGCTTTTGGGGTCCGAAGCGTCTGCCGCCGACCCTTCTGCAGAATCGCGCGGCCTCCGCTGGCCGCCGCTCTCGCCACAATTCGTGAATCTCCTCAATCTGCTGCTGCTGCTGCCATTCGCGAGCCCCCCGACGAAGTAACTTGTCGTTCTGCCGAGTGAGCTCCGTCAGCTGCTAAGCGAGTCGCGCCTCCTCCTCCTCCCCATCATCAACGGCCACTGCCAATCCCAAACGGAGAGCGCGCCGCTTTTCGAAAAGTACCCGTCGCTTTTCAGCATGAGGGCGACGTGGTCTGGCAGTGTCTTCGAAAACACGCTACCCTTCCTGGATCAACGCATCATTGATGTCGTCGAATGCCGTATCTGCCGTAGGGCGCCAGAGAAGACGCTCACACACATCAAAGTCCCGCAAGATGCGCTCCTCGACCGCCTCCCAGAAGGGCCGCCGTCCGTGATATTGCCGCAGCGTCAGCGTAAACCCATCTAGGTTCCATCTCGCCCTCGACGGAGCCCGATTGATCGCCTGTGGATCCAGCGTGTAGTCAAATATCATTTGGACGAGCAGGTGGTCCGCAATCGCCTTACGCCTCGCATGCTGAAGGTCACAGCGCAACCGCCCCAGCGGGCCAGCACTACGACAAAATTGTACCAGCGCAGCAGGAGCAGCAATAGCATCAATCCAGCTTGTCCCGCCCTGTGGGCCATAATACGTGGGCCCGAAGCCTTTTGTAACTGTTGGCCACCTGCAGCCCGTGTAGAGCAAGAAGACGAGACAGTCCAGCATCCTTATAGACTCCCCGCGTAGCCCTACCTGGCGCCAGTCTCGTATCCGTCTGGAACCCAAGCACCACTCACTTGCACCAATCCCGTGCCATCGTTGACATCAGCACATGCAATAGGAATGGTACGTTGCGGAAGCGATGCCAGCCTTGGAGCCAGCTGCTCAAACACCTCATTCACCATGCGCCGATAACGAGTCCACTCGTGCGTGTACGTTGGCTTCGGGGGCAACGAGAGAGCTACCATTGCCACAACATATCTTCCAGAAAACGACATTAAAGACCACGTCCGCCAATCGAACTAGACGTGCACTCCGTGCGTACCAAATACTCCGCCGTCAACTAGAACCCCACATGATCGACACCCCGCTGTGCATGTTCGTCCGTTTACCTGGTGTCGGAGCCCGCCTCGATGACGACCTGGCTTCTATCTGCTGCTTCCGAGGAGACGTACCTCGGGTCGCCTTGCTACGGGTGCCGATCAGCGCAATGCCATCAACATTGATAGTGCGGTCAGCAATCTCAGACAATCTGTCGACGGAGTAACTGCATCGGGTTGTAAGACTCGAGCGTCGAAGGAGAAGGAGCCATGAATGTGCAAGCGAGCCGCCACAGGTAGGGAAACCTCAGTGACACGCTCGCGACGTAAAGTAATGATAAAACGTGAATGGGGAGGGTCGGTCAGGCCACAATCCTGTCGGAACCCAACTGAGTGGAGAACGAGGGAGAGGAGAAAGAAAAGGAGGAGGCGGAGGAGGAGAAGGAGGATTGAGAAGGAGGAGAACGAGGAGGAAGAGGTGGAGGAAGAGGAGGAGGAAAAGGGGGGGGAGGAGGCGGAAGGCGAGGGAGACCGCCCAGGTCGAAACAACCGGCCACACCGTCGGAGATCTGGGGCTCTGGGGCGTGCCCGGCCTGGCTCGCGCCTGGCGGTGGCCTCGCCGCCCTGGTGCTGGCCCTGGCTGCTGCCGGGCAGCAGCTGCAACAACAGCGCCCCGACGAGCACCATCGTCGCGAGCGCCAGCAGCGCCTCGGGGCCCTCCTGACCATCCTCGCGCCGTGGAGGAAAAAAGGCGCGTCGGAGGGTTTGCGTTGATGTTCGGCCTCTGAGCGCCCCGACCAGGCTCTGAGGCCGTCGGGTCACCTGGCTAAACACCCGGCCGTGCACGGGAGGCCAGTCTACAAGAAACCTTCCATAAGAAACCCAACCCTGAGACCCCAGGGCGTCCATTGATTTTGGGGATAAGAAAATCACGCTTTCCAAAACAAAAACCATCGACACCCAAGAAACCCAGGGCACCCTCGAGGCAAGCAGGGTGTTTCTTGGCATGGGCATCCACTGTACGCAACTACAAATACCACGGTTGTGAGCACCGACCTCGGTGGAGATCCTCATGCGTGCCGAGATGGGGCGGGGTGCCATGCGACCGCTGCCGATGGGGCCTTCGGTGGAGCTCCTGAGGCACGCGGAGAGCAGAGGCAGGAGGAGAAGGAGGAGGAGGAGGAGGAGGAGGAGGAGGAGGAAAAGGAGGAAGGAGGAAGGAGGAGGAGAAGGAGGAGGAAGGGGGGGAGGAGGGAGGAGGGAGGAGGGAGGAGGGAGGAGGGAGGAGGGAGGAGGAGGAGGAGGAGGAGGAGGAGGAGGAGGAGGGGGGAGGAGAGAGGGGGAGGAGGAGGAGGAGGAGGAGAAAGAGGAGGAGGAGGAGGAGAAGGAGGAGGAGGAGTGAGGAAGGAGGAGGGAGGAGGGAGGAGAGGGGGCAGCGGGCAGACGCGCGGCGCTGCGGATTCAAAATGGGGGCTCAACAAAACAGCAGGGTCGGGGAGAAGCACGCCGGACTGTTCGTAACAGCTTTCAGGCTCGGGGGGCTGTTTTATACGGGCCACGGGACTGTCAAACAACTCAACGGGATGAACTTCGCAGCTCCACGTCGTGAACCAATCCCGACGTTGGATGTCTGGGAGCGGAGAGGGGGGGCGAGGGTTGGCCTTCTGGGAGGGCAGGGGCTTCATAGAGTGGATCGGAGGCGTTCAAGCATGCCCCTCAGACTCCAGAAGGCGGGGATGCTTCCAAGACGCTCTCCTGCCTTCTTGTGCGGCTGGCCCCCGCCCTTGACGACCAAGATCCGAGCACAAACGGTCCGCGGAACCCTTCTAGAGTGCATCATTACCGCCGTTTCGAGCCACGTCCAGCGCCGACGACAAGAACCTCAAGAGTCGGCTACACGCACGAGTGGCCCCTGGCCACAGTGACCTTTGGTGCGCGGCTTCAGGGGGGGAGACAAACTGAAGGGCCCAAGGACACACAAATACATACACACAAATCCCAGGATCCCCCTCATTTTCACATAGTTTCTGGGTTCTCGTCTTCCCCCCCACTTCCCATATGTTCCCATATTTTCCGGGGAATCGCCGATTAACTGTGTCTGTATGTGTTTCCCACTCCTGACGAACATGGGCGCGTAGGCCGCGGCTGCCGCACTGCCTGCAGCGATTCGGGGACACCACTGAACCTTGGAGGCGGCCTGTGGGCCTGAGCTGGACAGGCTCACTGAGAAGCGGCCAAGGCGGGGGGATGGAGGCACACTTGCTCACAAAATCGGTCCCCAGACCGCTCCCGGGGTCGAGAGACGGACTCGTCCTTCAAGCCGCGCCCCGCTGTGGCAACGAGGGGGGCCTTTCTCCCCCCTCTCTGACGGCTGGAATCGATGCTGGGCCACCTCGGCGCCCCAGCCGGCTCCGCGCTGGACCCGCCCGCACCAAAGATCCCTCCAGCGAAGGGCCACGCTCACGCGTCGGCGGCAGAGGCGCCCCAGACCTCCCAGGCGACGGCGTCCACGCCGGCGGCCGCGCGCCGAGATGTCCGGAGGGGAGCAGGGCAGGATCACTTGCATCGGGAGCTCGGCAGCGGATCGGCACGAGCATTTTGGGCCACATCGGCAGAGAGCCGGGATCGAACTGGGCCGGCTGCGCCAGGAGGCACACCAGTGCCGTGCTTGAGCAGGGACCGACCGTCCTGGCACTCAGTGTAGGCCTATACCACGACATGTTCTTGGGACCCCAGAATGTTCTTAGAGCGAGAACCATGTTCTTGGAACCTGAGCCCGATGAGTTAAAACAAGACAGCCCCAGCCAGAACTGTTCGCACAACATTGCGTGCAAGCCGCGCAAGGTTCTCAGAACATTGCTTGGTGGGCCTATACTCCAACCAAGACGCTTCGCCACCGCTGGACGTGCAGAGCATCCGGCCGCATCGGATCGTCGGGGCACCCGGGCCGCATCGGACTGGGCCGGCCGGAGCCGACCTCGGATCGACACGGATCGTGGCAGCGGGAGCGGCAGCCGCCCGCCCACGAGCGGGGGAGGCCACCTCGAAGGATGCCGCTTCTCAGGAGGCGCCGGCCCCACGCCTGCAGACGAGGCCCGCGCTTTCCGAGAAGCAGGGGCGCTTCGGAGAAGCCTCCCCCCCTCCCCCCGACCCACGACGTCCTGATTTGCTTCCTGGCGTCGACCCCCAGAGGCCTCGCCCCCCCTGCCCCCCCGGGGCCGGCTGCTCATCCTGAGCCGTTCTTCGACGCTCCCAGGGCCCAGCGAGGGCCCCCAGAGGCCCAGAACGGCGAAAAGCCTCCCGTGGCGATCTCTCCAGGCCTCGAGGGGGCTCCGAGGGCGCCGAGCGTGGCCGAGCAGCCGCGCGCGGCCCGCCGAGGCGGCGGCCCCGAACACGTAGAGGGCGGCCGTGGCCTGCGAGGCCGACATCCTCGGGGCGCGGCGCGCCCGCGAGGCGCGCGCGCGCGCCGGGGCCCCCCCTGGCGGGAGCCCCGCCGGGCGCGGCGCGCGGGAGCCCTGCGGGCTTCCTCCTCCTCCTCCTCCGCCTCCTCCTCCGCCTCCTCCTCTTCCTCCTCTTCCTCCTCCTCCTCCTTCGCCTCTTGCTCCTCCTCCTCCTCCTCCTCCGCCTCCTCCTCCGCCTCCTCCTCTTCCTCCTCCTTCCTCCTTCTCCTGCTCCTCTCCTCCTCCTCCTCCTTCGCCTCTTGCTCCTCCTCCTCCTTCTCCTCCGCCTCCTCCTTCTCCTCCTCCTCCTCCTCCGCCTCCTCCTCCTCCTCCTTTTCCTCTTCCCTCGCCTCCTCCCCCTCCTCATCATCCGCCTCTTCCTCCTCCTCCTCCGCTTCGGGCAGAGGTGCGCGGCCCGCGTGCGTGTGGGCCCCTATCGTGCGCGCACCGCGCGCCCCTGTCCCCAGACTCCCTCGGGCAATGGACTAATCATGACGGGAAGTTTTGCCACATGTTCGGCCCGGGGTGGCCCTCACCAGGCCTCGGGACCGTCACTTCTAAAACGACTCAGGAAAAACCGGCCCAGGGGAATGGGTCGAGACCTTTGAGGGTCGACATTATGACGAAAATCATTATGTCGGGCGTGTCCCCCTACAGAGAGGTTTTCGACGAAACAAAAAAAAGTACCCCAAACATGCACCAAAAAGGTCAAAAAATACTCAAAAAATAGTCCCGACTATTTTTGGAATATTTGTATATTATTTTTGGGGTATTTTTTATTTTTCGTCGACAATCCCCCTGTAGGGGGACAGGTCCGACTTGAACAAATCATGACGTCGGGGGTCTGTGAGGCGCGTGGCGCGCGCGCGGGCGCCCCGATACTGCGCGCGCCGCGCGCCGCAGTGAGCCCCCGGCCGGCGCCCCTCGCGTCGGCCCGTGCACGGGCGTGAGCCGTGAGCCGTGAGCGGGGATCTGCAGATGTCAGCTGCCCCGATACGCAACACGCAGCACGCAGCGTATTGATACGGCGCTGAGCACGGAGATTGCAAAAACGTGGGTCTGGCGCGATACGTTCTCGTCAAAGCGTGGGCCAACACGTTGAGCCGGCGCGCAAACGTACCAGCACGGACGTTCTGAGCACGGTACGCTTTGCGTATCAGAGCGGGCGTAATTATAGAGGCAACTAAGATGTGGATCGATCCCTGGCCGATGGAGGCCGCGTTTTGAACTGCCGTGCCCTGCTCCTGGGGAAACCAAAAGCTACCGATACCGCTACTCCCCGGACTTCTCCTGGGGTGCGTTCTGACCAGAATTTCGAGGCGAATCCAACGGTGGCGACGAGGGCCTCCCAGGAGGCCCAACACGAGGGGAGGGCAGAGGCATGGGTGCCTTTTCCTCCTCGGAGCTGCCCAGAAAGGGGACAACGAGGGGAGGGTAGAGGTAAGGGCACCTCTTCCTCCTCTGAGCTCCCCCCCTGCGCTCAGAGATTGGGGGCAGCAGCAGTCGGGGATCTTCTGACCCAGGTCAATCCAGACCGGGTCAGCAGGAAACCGAAAAACTGCAATTGCAGGACAAAAAACTGCAACGCAGGTCTTCGCAAACCCAGGTCAGCCACTGTGCGCGGCCGCCTCGCGACCACGAGCGGCTCGCTGACCCGGGTCCGCCAGAGGGGGTCTTCGCAGGATCCTGCAGGATCCGCTGCCCTGGCTGAGCCCCGTTTGCATTGACCCCCGTCTCTTTAGGGAGCCCAGAAAGGACGTACGCGCCCAGCTATGTACATGAACACGGCCCCTCGGTCCGCGAGACGGGCAGCGTTACACGAACATTTGCGCAGTGCGTGCCCTCGAAACCAGCGTGGACTCATGTACATGTACATGTGCGCGCTGACCCGGGTTAGCCAGAGGGGGTCTTCGCAGGATCCTGCAGGAGCCGCTGCCCTGGCGGAGCCCCGTTGGCATTGACCCCCGTCTCTTGAGCCCCGAAGCAGGGGTTCGGGGATGGACAGACCTCCCTTTAGTAAAACGTGGCTTAGTGAAAACGACCTCGGGCCCAAACCTGGCGGGCGCAAGCCTGGAAAATAACGGCCACGGCGCCCTCTCGAGAACCGAAAACGGACAATTCACTAATCGACGTGTCACTGTTGGGGGTTCTGTCCACCCCCGAGGGGCGTGGGTCGATCGCCGGCCCTCGAGGCAGGGCGTGCCCGCGCGCTCCGCCGCTCGGGCGCGCTCTTTAGCGCAAGCAGAGCTCTGCCTGCTGCAGCGGCACCCTCCGCATCGGAAAAAGCGCGCGCGCGTGCGGCGAGCCCCGCCGGCCGCCCCGCGCAGGGGAGGGCGCGCGGGCTGCGCGCCGGCGCCGGCCCGCGGCCGGGCCGATGCCGGGCCCGGGGTCCTGTTGCCCCCTGTCGTACTTGAGGGCCACATCGCCGAACTCACTTCGAGCACCGAGGGGAAGTGCCGAAGGAGTGTCGAAGCAGTGCCGAAGCAGTGTCGGACGAGTGTCTCCCACGGCCCGACACGCAAAGGCCTTCGAGTTTTTTTGTTGTTGTTTGTTTTTTGTTTTCTGGTGCTCGAAATTACTTCTGGTGATCGAGGCAAAAAATAACTTGGAACATCATAAGCCCAGGGTCGGTGTGCCCAGACAGGATGGCGTCGTGTTAAAAAAAAACCGGGCGGGAGGCTTTGGGCCATTTTTGGCCCCGAGGGAAGGCCCTCGCCGGGCCTCGGGACCGTCAAAAAACGACTCCAGACGAAAAACCAGGCCTGGGGAACGGGTCGGGACTTCCCGGGGCGCCGTCCTGGAAAAATCAGGACGTCGCATGTCTGGGTGTACATGTGCCCGCCTGGCTTCGGCGGCAAGGCTTAGGTCGGGCCTGTCCCCCTACAGGCGGATTCTGGGCGTAAAATTAAAAGTAGTCAGAACATGTTCAAAAATTGCAGAAGATAGTCGAGCAAAAATCGTCCCCAAACTATTTTTTTGGCAATTTGGGACTTTTCCTCCTGTAGAGGGACGGGCCCGACTTAGGGCAAGGCATGACTATCCACCGAGCCCTGGGCCCGCAGGCCTGGCCCGGCGCCCCGGATCGGCGCAGGTGCACGGCCGGTGCCCGCTGGGCGAGGGGCACTCTGGACGAGGCTGCGAACCCAGGCCCCCGACGTAAGGATCTGCTCCCAGTCTCGATCCCCAAGGGGGGTCTCTTGAGCAGGGACCGACCGTCCCGGCATTCTGATAGTCCTACCACGAAGTGTCCTTAGGACCCAAACATGCTCTACAGGAACGAAGACAATGTTCTTGAACCCAATGTGTTAAAGCAAAACAGTCCCAGGCAAGAATTGTTCTAAGAACCATCCGTGGAAACCACAAAAGGTTCTTAGAACATTGCTTGGTAGACCTATAGGCACGCCAAGACGCTTCGCCACTGCTAAAGTCTCGACCCACTCTCCGCGACCGGCTTTTTTGATCACGAGGAACCGCTTGACGGCCCCGAGGCCAGCTCTAAGGGCCCCCAGAGGCCGAACATAGAGACCCAGACATGCGACGTTCGGATTTTTTCAAGACGGCGTCCCTGGAAGTCTGGACCACTTCCCCGGGACCGGTTTCTCGTCCGGAGTGGTTTTTTGACGGTCCCGAGGCCCGGCGAGGGCCCCCCGGGGCCGAAACTAGCAAAACACCTCCCGTCCTGATTTTGTTTACGACGCGATCGTGTCTGGGGAGAAGAGCCCTCCGTCGTGGTCTGCTCGTGGCCCGAAGGTGCTGCGGGCGCTTGGATTGTGGCACGGCGCGCCCTGGGCAAGCTCGCGCCGCCGATGCGCCGCTCGCGGGCCGCCGCTGGAAGGCACTGGAGCCACTGGCGAGACCGTGGGCAGGAATGCCAAACCCCCTCGGGCAATGAAAGAATCATGACGGGAGGTTTTTCCATGTTTTCGGCCTCTGGGGGCCCTCACCAGGCCTCGGGACCGCCAAACAACGACTCAGGACGAGAAACTGGTCCTGGGGAATGGGTTGGGACCTCGGGGGGTCGACGTAATGAAAAAACATGACGTCGGGGGTCTGGGGAGGCCGTAGGCAGAATTGCACGTGCTCGGCCGGCTGACGGTCAAATGCTCGTCCTGGGGGCCTGCCCGGAGCCACTGGCGACACTTCTGCGTGGATGCTGCGTCGAGCGTCCGGCAACTCGACTCCGCATGGGAGCCGAGCTTGGGCCGAGCTGGGGTCGCCCCGGGGTCGAGCTGGCGCCGAACCGCAGCCAGAGCAGCTCGGCTCGGCGGCCCCCAGGACGGCCCCCCCATCAAGCGGGCACCCTGCCGCCGCAGCGCTGGCCGAGAGGCCGCCCGCGCGCGCGCGCCCAGGCGGCCGGGGGCCACGGAGAGCGCGAACTCACCGGCGGCGGGAGGCGGAGGAGGCAGGCGGGCACGGCCGGGAGGGGCGGGAGGCGGGGAGGGCCGGCAGGGGTGCGCACGCGGCGGGCGTCGCCGCGGCGCGGGCGCTCCCAGGCGAGCGCCTCCAAGGAGGGCGCCGAGCCCGCAGGGCGGCAGGCCTCGGGCGGCCCGGGGCCCGCGGGGGGGCCGCCCGGGGCAGGTCCTCGTCCTGGGGGCGCCTGCGGGCGGGCGGAGGCCTCCCGGAGCTGCCTGGCCCTCGGGGGCTCCGTCGGCCTGGTCGGCCGAGGCCCGCGGGGCCCGTGGGGCAGGGAGGGCGGGGGAGGGGGGCGGGGGGGCGGGAGGGGCTCGACGTATACACCACGCCGCCGCATCGGCCGAGGAGCCCCCTCAACACGCAGGCGCCCCCGCTGCCCAACCCGTGGGACGCTGGAGCGTCTGTGCAGTGTCGGGCTGCTGCAAGCAGGAGCGCCAGCTGAGGAGCGAGGTCCCTTTTCTGGCGCACGGAAGGACCTAAGGAACAGCTAGCCCCTTCCGAACCCAACGCGGTCCTTATTTCAGCGTCCTGACTGTACACCAAATTCATGTGCATAACTCCTTGGTTCCCTGGTCG